GGATCTCACGAAACTGGGTGACTGGGCAACAAAATGGCAGATGAAATTCAATGTTGATAAATGCAAAGTAATGCACATTGGAAAACATAATCCCAACAATACACACAAAATTATGGGGTCTAAATTAGCTGTTACCACTCAAGAGAGAGATCTTCATAGAATCATAGAACTGGAAGGGACCTCAAGAGGTCATCTAGTCTAGTCCCCTGCACTCAATCTAGACCATCCCTGACAGGCGTTTGTCCAACCTGCTCTTAAAAATTCCCAATGATGGAGATTCCACAACCTCCTTAGGCAATTTATTCCAGTGCTTAATCACTCTGACAGTTAGGAAGTTTTTCCTAATTTCCAACCTAAATCGCCCTTGCTGCAATTTAAGTCCATTGCTTCTTGTCCTATCCTCAGAGGTTAAGAAGAACAATTTTTCTCCCTCCTCCTTGTAACAACATTTTATGTATTTGAAAACTGTTATGTCCCTAAACAAACCCAATTTTTTCAATCTTCCCTCATTGGTCATGTTTTCTATACCTTTAATCATTTTTGTTGCTCTTCTCTTGGACTTTCTCCAATTTGTCCACATCTTTCCTGAATTGTGGTGCTCAGAACTGGACACAATACTCCAGTTGAGGCCTAATCAGAGCAGAGTAGAGCGAAAGAATTACTTCTCGTGTCTTGCTTACAATGCTCCTGCTAATACATCCCAGAATGATGTTTGCTTTTTTTGCAACAGCATTACACTGTTGACTCATATTTAGCTTGTGATCCACTATGACCCCCAGATCCCTTTCTGCAGTACTCCTTCCTAGGCAGTCATTTCCCATTTTGTATGTGTGCAACTGATTATTCCTTCCTAAGTGGAGTACTTTGCATTTATCCTTATTGAATTTCATCCTATTTACTTCAGAACATTTCTCCAGTTTGTCCAGATCATTTTGAATTTTAATCCTATCCTCCAAAGCACTTGCAACCCCTCCCAGCTTGGTATCGTCTGCAAACTTTATAAGCATACTCTCTATCCTATTATCTAAAACATTGATGAAGATATTGAACAGAACCAGAACTGATCCCTGCGGGACCCCACTCATTGTGCTCTTCCAGCATGACTGTGAACCACTGATTATTACTCTCTGGGGACAATTTTCCAACCAGTTATACACCCACCTTATAGAAGCTCCATCTAGGTTGTATTTCCCTAGTTTGGTTATGAGAAGGTCATGCGAGACAGTATCAAAAGCCTTACTAAAGTCAAGATATACCACATCTACCGCTTCCCCCCATCCACAAGACTTGTTATCCTATCAAAGAAAGCTATCAGGTTGGTTTGACATGATTTGTTCTTGACAAATCCATGCTGACTGTTATTTATCACCTTATTATCTTCTAGGTGTTTGCAAATTGATTGCTTAATTATTTGCTCCATTATCTTTCCGGGTACAGAAGTTAAACTGACTTGTCTGTAATTCCCCGGGTTGTCTTTATTTCCCTTTTTTATATATGGGCACTATATTTGCTCTTTTCCAGTCTTCTGGAATGTCTCCCGTCTTCCATGACTTTTCAAAGATAATTGCTAATGGCTCAGATATCTCCTCAGCCAGTTCCTTGAGTACTCTAGGATGCATTTCATCAGGCCCTGGTGATTTGAAGACATCTAACTTGTCTAAGTAATTTTTGACTTGTTCTTTCCCTATTTTAGTTTCTGATCATACCTCATTTTCACTGGCATTCACTATGTTAAATGTCCAATCGCCACCAACCTTCTTGGTGAAAAACAAAACAAAGAAGTCATTTAGCACCTCTGCCATTTCCACATTTTCTGTTATTATCTTTCCCCCCTCATTGAGTAACAGGCCTACTCTGTCCTTGGTCTTCTCGTTGCTTCTAATGTATTTGTAGAATGTTTTCTTGTTTCCTTTTATGTCCCTAGCTAGTTTGATCTCGTTTTGTGCCTTGGCTTTTCTAATTTTGTCCCTGCATACTTGTGTTATTTGTTTATATTCATTCTTTGTAATTTGACCGAGTTTCCACTTTTTGTAGGACTCTTTTTTGAGTTTTAGATCATGGAAGATCTCCTGGTTAAGCCAGGGTGGTCTCTTGCCATAGTTCCTATGTTTCCTATGCAGTGGGATAGTTTGCTCTTGTGCCCTTAATAATGTCTCTTGGAGTCATTGTGGACAGTTCTCTGAAAACATCCACTCAATGTGCAGTGGCAGTCAAAAAAGCAAACAGAATGTTGGGAATCATTAAGAAAGGGATAGATAATGAGAGAAAATATTATATTGCCTGTTTATAAATCCATGGTACGCCCACATCTTGAATACTGCATGCAGATGTGGTCACCACATCACGGAAAAGATATATTGGAATTTGATAAGGTTCAGAGAAGAGCAACAAAAATGATTAGGGGTATGGAACAGCTTCCATATGAGGAGAGATTAAAAAGACTGGGACTTTTCAGCTTGGAAAAGAGATGACTAAGGGGGAATATGATAGAGGTCTATTAAATCCTGACTGGTATAGAGAGAGTAAATAAGGAAGTGTTATTTACTCCTTCTCATAACACAAGAACTAGGGGTCACCAAATGAAATTAATAGGCAGCAGTTTTAGAACAAACAAAAGGAAGTATTTCTTCACACGATGCACAGTCAACCTTTGGAACTCCTTGCCAGAGGATGTTGTGAAGGTCAAGACTATAACAGGGTTCAAAAAAGAACTAGATACATTAAATCGAGGATAGGTCCATCAATGGGTATTAGCTAGGATTGCAAGGGATGGTGTCCCTAGTCTCTGTTTGCCAGAAGCTGGGAATGGGCAAGAGGGGATGGATCAGTTGATGGTGACCTGTTCTGTTCATTCCCTCTGAGGCACTTGGTGTTGGCCACTGTCAGAAGACAGGATACTGCGCTCAATGGACTTTTGGTTTGACACAGTATGGCCATTCTTATGTTCAGAGAATCTCTAGTTTATAATTTTGTGAAAAATAAAAACATATTAACTAAATTTTACTGAAAGTACCAATTTCACTTATTCAATGCACACAACCATTCCTTGTGGTTGATTTTTGAACATGCTTTAAATTTACACCGGAACCCCATTTATTGGATCTAATTGGGACTGGGGCCAGATCGGATAATCAGGAGAAACGGCAAAGAGCTTTGTATCCCTCATTTTAAGATGGGGGTGGGGAGGTTCGGGGCAGTCAGCTGGAGCCCCAGCCACTGTCAGCCCTGGGCGGCTGGTGGTTCGGTTTATACAGAGAGACGGATAATGGAGGCTTGGATAAACAAGGTTCTACTGTACATCAATAAAATGTGTTCAAATGATATCTGTATATATTGTGGGTAGTGAAACTACAGTTCAGCATTTCATTTTAATCATGGAAAAAACCACGGATTTTATGGGGGGGGGGGGTAATCAGAAAATGTTGGGGCTTTTTTATCACAGAAATCTAGGATCCCTGGTTATGAGACTACAAAAAGCATTTTAAAATCTCTACGTTATAAAGGTTCTCACATTTTAAAAGTGGTTGTGTAGAAGAGAGGCAATGCCAGGTGGCTGTAAAGAAAGTGTCTTTCTAAACAAAGGCCCACACTCATACCTGAAGTAGGGCTTCCCTCAGCCCTTGAACATAATAACAGTAAATGAACAAGGCCAATTCCTGCCAATTTCCCAAGTAGTATAGAAGTATGGCTTCCTTCAGCCAGTCAAAGTAAGGATATCAATATGTGTGTTTTTCAGCAAGTCCCCCAAAATACCAGATAAACAGTCCAACTCATGGCTCCATTCTAACACAGCCTCTTTGGGAAGGGCAGTAGTCAATTTAACAGCTCTTCCTTGATGGCTTTGGGACTAAGTCCTTTGTTCCACAAACTTCCTAACCCCTTTTCTTCTTAGGCAGGTAGGAAAGATTACTTTTCTCTTAAGAACCAACCAGCCTAATAACAAAGAATTGTCCTACCAGATCAGACCAGGGTCCACCTAGTCCAGTTTTCTGTCTGGCAATGGTCAGTGACAGCTGCTTAAAGGGAAGGTGCAAGAATCCCCAAAGTGGACTGCCACCTGCTCCTCCTATGGCTGCTTTGTTGTCATGAGACCCATCTAGAGGAATCTCCTTTATGGTCAACTTAAGCAATTCCTCCAAGGCAGGACAGGTACTCATACCTTTTCATACTGCAAGCTTTAAACACATTCCCTGCTTGAATGTGGGGTATATACTCCCTAAGATAAGCTGATTAGATTTCCCACACACACAATTTTGTAAGATACGAGCCATGCAAGTACTGGTCTACAATGGAACTCTTTATAATAGAAACAATAACTTTAAAAAATAACATTTTATATTCATCATTTGATATTTTAAATGAATTATTTGTAGGTCTCTGTGGCTGTCACAGAGGTCGAGGAAGTCACGGATTCTGTGACTTTCCGCAACCTCTGTGACTTCTGCAGGAGCCAGTGTGGCTGACCCCAGGGCTGCCCAAGCAGCTAGCTCTGGAACCAGCTGCTCAGGTGGCCCCCGGGACAGCCACACCAGCCTTCCCGGGGTGGCCAGAGCAGCTGCGATCCACAGCTCCAGGCAGCGGTTCCCAAGCAGCCGCGGTCTGCTGGCTCTGGCAGTGGTCCCCGGGCGGCCGCGGTTCCCAGCCAGCCAGCCGGAGCAGCTGTGGTCCGTGGTCCCTGGCAGCTGGTGCTCCCCCCCCTCCCCCCAACAGCACTCCCCCACAGTGCCACCCCCAGCAGCAGCCCCCTCCAGTGTTCCCTCCCCAGCAGAGCCCCCGCCCCCAGATTTAATCACAGGTATTTTTAGAATAAGTCATGGATAGGTCACGGACCGTGAATTTTTGTTTATTGCCCATGACCTGTCCATGACTTATTCTAAAAATACCCATGACAAAATCATAGCCTTAATTATTTGAACTAGTTTTCCAGTGTTTTTATCCAATATAAAAATCTCCTTCAAGCACATTCAAAAGGTTAGACATCTGATGATTTTTTGTTTCACCTTAGACTTGTCAAATCTTCTAAGTGTTTCCAGCAGCTTAACAATTTGTATTCTTGTATCTTCTTCACAGAAGAAAATCCATGAGGAGTTTCTACCATAGGAAGCAGAGAAGCTAACAAAAGAAAGAGGTTGGTTTACTACAAGATTGACTTCTGAGGAGATTACAAACCTTAAGTAAAAACAAAAACAAAAACCCTGCTAACTGGAAGTCAATCCCTCAGCCATATGGACCCCAAAGCAATTAGTGCTAATGGAGGATCATGTATCAGAACCCATATGCAGTGAAATGTAGATGTCTGCTTAAGAGAAACTCAAAGACCCTGCCCTCAGTTCCTAATTGTCTGCCCATAATCTGCACAGAGAGGAACGTGGATGTGCAGAGTAAGTAAATTCTGAGTTCTCCAGGTACTGGTAAATAACCTACTTCCCCTCCCCCTTACCTTTCTTCCATAGAATCCCCTCGTTGGAGGTCTAACAGAGTAATAACCTTAGAAGAGATACTGGTTGGTGTTTTAGCAAAACTGTCCCGTTGTGCACTCCAAGAAGATCTTCCCATTTTTCTCTCAGCCAAATTCTTTCACAACTAAAATATCTATTAGCCAAATAATGCCTCCTTGTACTCTTAAAGGTGTTTTTATTGTCCTTCCTCGGTGGGGTGGGGAAATAGTGCTTCTGGATAACGGGAAACAAAGATGCATCAGTGGAGCAGTACTGCGCAAGAGAATAATGTCTTGTGAATGTGTGGTGGAACTCCATGTAGATGCTTTGCAAATGTCAAGTAAGGGTATTTCCTGAAGGGATGCCACTGAAGTTACTTATGCTCTTATAGAATGAGCCCTCATCCCATGCAGAGAGGAACATACCACAACTGATAACAGATACAGCCAGAGATCAATTTAGAGATCCTCTGGAAGGAAACAGTTTGACTTTGGACTCGTTCTGCTATAGTGAGAAATAATCTTGGTGATATTCTAATTGGTTTAGTGCTTTGCAGGTAGAAGGTGAGAATGCGTTATACGTTGAGGGAATGAAGACTCCTCTTTTCCCCCAATGCATGCGGTTTCAGAAAAAAAAAACCACACACACAACTAAGTGGTTGATTGGTTTATGTGAAACTCTGAAATTACTTTGGGGGGTGAATTTCAGATGTAGCCGTAAAGAGACTTTGTCCTTGTGGAATATAATGTATGGTGCAGCAGCGCTCCCAGATCGCCTTCCCTCCTGGCTGAGGTGATGACCATAAGGAACACAACTTTAACTGATAAGTGAGACATGGTTTGAAGGGAGGCTTACTGAGTGCCAAAAGAACAAGGTTTAAGTCCCATTGATAAGTATGTTTCCTTGCTGCTGGGAAAGTTCTGATTAGGCCCTTTAAGAATCCGTTAATCAACAAGTGAGTGAAAATTGAATAACGTCTGATCGTGGATGGCATGGATGGATTGCTGTCAGATGGCCTTGTACAAAACTGAGGGAAAGCCCAGCTGTTTTGAGAGAGAAAAAGTAGTCCAAAATGACGAGAATATCTGCTGACTCAGGAGATACATGTTTCTGCTGCGGTCAGATGGAGAAATGCTTCCACTTGGCTGAACAGCATATCTAGTGGAATCTTTTCTGCTATTAAGGATGGCTTATGCAGTTTGAGAGCAGACATGTTCTACTGTTGATGCCCATCCAAAAACTAAGCCATGAGATGAAGCACTTTGGGGTTGGGATGCTTGATCCTTCCCCATCTCTTCACCCAGAAGAAGAGTAAGGACTGGAGGCTGATCAGGGGACATTTGGAAACTAAAATTATCTGGATCAGCTGGAGGCGATGAGGATGACTCATGCCCTGTCCTGACAAATTTTCTTTAAGACCCAAGGTAGGAGTAGTAAGGGAGGAAAGGCATAGTTCAGATGGCCTGACCAGGGGAGATGGAGAGCATCACCTTGAAAGTGTAGTCTTAGAGCTCCTCTAGAACAGTATATGTTGCAATTCTTGTTCGTTTGGAAGGCAAAGAGATGCCAGGTGAGGATCCCTCATTAAATAAAGATGTTCTTAACTACCGAATCATCCAATTCCCACTCATGATCGATGGTGAAATGCCTACTGATGGCGTCCACCAACACATTCGGAGTTCCTAGAAGGTAAGCTGCCTCAGGGTGATTCAATTCCTCTTACACCCATTCTATATAGCGATTGCTTTTACACACAAGGGAATGGATTTCACCCCTTCATGTTTGTTGATGTAAAAGGCAGATGTCATACTGTCTGACATTATGAGGACGTGATGCGAATAGATAAATTGCAGAAAAACCCTGCAAGCGATTCAGACTCAATGTTCCAGAAGGTTGATGTATATCCTAGTCTCCTGGGGTGTCCAAGTGCCCTGTGCCATATGACTGTCTATGTGGGTTCCCAGGCTGAGAGAGAGGAGTCTGTAATGATCATCTTGTCTGGCGAGGATGGTAGGAAGGGGACACCACACATCCCTGATGGAAATCGTTCCTCATTACACTAGCGAAGGAGTTATCCTGGAAGGAATTGTTACCATGGTATTTATGCTATGTTTGGTTGGTGAATACAATGTCTGGAACCACACCTAAAGGAAATGTAGGTGGAGTGTGCTGAATTGGCTAATGTAAGTGCAAGAAGCCATGTGCCACAGGAAGGAAAGACAAGTACTGTGTGGGGCTCTAGAGTTGCACATAACCTGATCTATCAGGTCACTAATGGTGTGAAACCTGTCCCTTGGTAGATAAGCTCTTGCCGTGACTGAATCTAGGTTGGCCCCTAAGAAGTCTACAGTCTGCATCGGAGTGAGGACGGACAGACTTTCCCAAGTTCACATTGACTCCTAGTGAAGAAAGTAGTTGAAGAATTAATAAGGTCAACTCATATGCTTCCTGATGTGTCTTAGCAATGAGAAGCCAATTGTCAAGATAGGGAAAGATGGTGAAGTTGTTCCATCTGAAATGCACTGCTATTACTAGAAAGACCTTGGGGGCAGTGGTGAGGCTGAATGGAAGCACCCCTGTACTGGACATTATTGGGGCTCACCACAAATCTGAGAAAACACCCATGGGCAGAGTGAACATCCATGTGAAAGTAAGCATCCTTCATATTGAGAGCTGTAAACCAAATGTCTTTTTCCAGGGAGGGATTATTGACACCAGAGTGACCTGTGAAATTTCAGCTTGTGAATAAAGTGACTGAAAAGATCGAGTATAGATCTCCAACCTCCCTTCTTCGTGGGGAGTAGGAAGTATAGAGTAAAAAATCTCTCCCTTGGTGTTGAAGGGGTAGCACTCTATTACTCCTCACTCAGAAGGGATTCCACTTCCTGCGTGAGAATGGTCCCTGAAGAGGGGCAGGGATGGGGGTTTTGAAAGAAAAAGGGAAGTAAACTCAATTGCATAGCTAGACTGGATGATATCTAATACCCACTTGTCCATTATGGCACTCCAGTTATGCAAACAGAGTGCTAAATGATCCCCAAAAGGTATATGGGGATCGGGTAGTGGTAGCATCATTAATAGTTTGCAGCTCTTGAACTCCCATCAAAAATATCTTTTTGCTGGAGGATGGGATTGAGATGGTGCGGTAGATGTGGGAGGTGCAGGGAAACAAGACTTCTGTACTCTTTGTCTCTGATGAGAAGGGTCATAAAATTATTGGTGATAAAATTGTTAAGATGTTGGTCTGTCTGTAAGGCTGCCTTTGATGCTTCCTTTTTGGGGCAGATGTCTATATTCCCAAGAAGTGGAGGATGGCCCTGGAGTCCTTTAAAATATGAAAGAACTCATCCATCTTTTCATTGAAAAGGTGGGCTTCATCGAAGGGCAAGCCCTCTACAGAATTTTGGACCTCCCTGGGAAATCCTGAAGTGTGTAGTCATGACTTATGGCGCATCACAGTGGATGTTGCTATTGACCTAGTTTATGTGTCTGCTGCATCAACTGCTGACTGAAATACAGTTCTGGCTTATCCTCCTCAATAAGACCCTGAAAGTGGGCACTGTCATGCTGTGGCAGCTTGTCTATAAAGTCTCAATTTAGAATAGTTCAGATAGTCATATATAGCCAACAATGCTTGATAGTTCACTGGGGCAACAGGATAAGACAACGGGCTATATATGGTCTGGTTTAAAAGTAAATTACTCATTCTCCTTAGGCACGTAATCTGAATGTTCAAAATTAAGACGCACCTAACCTGATGAATAAAGTGGAAAATGTTTTATAATAAAATTTGAAATTATATTTGACATTTCTGGGCCCCGACTATTAGTAGAATGTTACAACAAGTTACTGTCCACTTGTAAGACTTACTATCTCATGTGGAGAAGCTTTGCTATCAGGGATTATAGCAAGGATGCTACTGTAATACCTTATTTATCTAGTTTCTTCTCTCTTTAGCTAAGGCTGGATTTAAAAGACCTTCTTCACCTTTAAAGCTCACTATCCATTCTTGAGATCTTGTTTACACAATCTAGCCAACTCTCCTTAAAGCTGACAAGTATTCACTGCATTTGCTTTTGGTAGCGGTCATAAACAAATATACTTTAACACTAAGTAGCTGGCCTGCTATTATGTGGAAGATACAAATTTGAGTCCCAGGCCAGGAGGGGTGGGGAATGCTACTGAAGCTGGAGGGAGGATCAAGCATAGCTCACCAGCAACCTCACCAGCAAGCTCGCTGAAGGGTTCTGGAGAGAACCATCTCTGGACTCTCTTCTACTGAATGGTGGAGGAGAAGAAATAAAGTGAGAAATCACTTTGCCCTTTCCCCATCCCAGAGGAACAGAAACACTAAATACGAGAAGGAAAAGCTCAGAAGAAAATTCAGATACAATGTCAGGAGAAAAAACAGCAGCTACTGGTAGGGTCATCTCAGACATTGTATGTTATATATTATGATATGAAAGGGTACCTTGTCCAGTAATTTTTCTGACTTCTTCATTCGTCTTCCTATATCCATATGTTATTCCCAATATTCTTCTCAGATATTTGTGATGAAATGCATCCAGCTTTTGCATATCTTTCTTGGTAAATTGCCACGTCTCACTGCTATATGTTGTGATGGTGATAACAATTGCTTTGTACACATTCAGTTTTGTCTTGAGGGAAATGTTT